AAAAAAAAGTGATATTATCTTAGTAACATACCATTCGAACGGCGATTACTGAATCCATTGACGGGGAAGTCAGGCAGGTATTTTTCTGCCCAGGGATTGGCGGACGCCACCATCCATAATTTTCACTCGTCCTCCGACCTGTCCGCTCCCTTTCTCACCCCTGGCTGTTGTTGACAAAACCAATTTGCAGGCCAAAGGAGAGAAAACAAACCCTACTTTTTTTAACATAATATTTCTCCACCTTGTCTACTTCAGTTCGTGTCCAACTCAACACAATGGCATGCTGTACTCCTGTGCTTTTAAGTATCCGCTCCACCCAGTGAACGGACCATTTGTCCATACATACATAGCCACGGAAGGCGCAGGGCACACTTCCTCTAGGGGAATGTCATGACTGGGGCTATGTCCCACTATTTGCTGATTGGAGAATTGACCTATAGCCCCGACGATGAGAGTACTCCGGAGTACTAACAGGTACCGTACCAAATTTAATCCCAGGATTCGTGAGATAATCTTAAACACCTAACTTACTGTAGGTTGTCCTACTAAAAGGACAGAGCCCACAAGGTTGGACTATGAAGCATATTCAGTCTAAGTGACAAGCCACAAATACACCGATTAGGAGTAACACGAAGGGATGGCTCCTTTTCGGGACAAAGAAGGATTTGGAATAGATTTACTTTTGGACCCGGATAACCTTGTGCTATGCAATGTTCTTTACCCACAGTAGCGTTAACTTATATTATCCTCCTAACGACACCTTGCATGTACATGTAGATACATATAGATGAGCTCACACATGTCGAGAATCGTCAATAAAAGGGGCGTTTTTCAAACCTTGGTGGTTACTTCAATTGGGAAATGACAGCGAAAGAGACGTAGACTTACTCAACATCATCTCTTTTGGCCTCCATTGCTTGCCCGATGTGTGGATAAGTCTGGACTGTATCCCCATGTGATACTTTTATTCCACCATATATGGAGTACTTAGTAGACACTATCGGAACTTTAGCCTTTGATGATTGGGTGTGAGCCTCAATAAATTCCCGATGGTATCTCTCTAAGGTTATCCAATATGCTGGGTACAGATCAAGTAACCTGGGAAGGGGATCATGTTTCAAAGAAAGAGAGAGATATATATAACTCCGATTAAGTTGTACGATAACATGACAAATCTGACCAGATCGCGATCTACCCCAATAGTACTATGAGGAGAATACATTCTGCGATTCTTATATATAATATAATTATTGGACGATCAAAGTCGTATTATCCCCTTAAAGGACCTTTTTTTGTTACTTGGAACCTTTTCCATTTTTGTTTTGAATGGGCAGCAAGCAGTTTATGTGAAATAATTACACAGCTGGCATGGAGTAGTTGGAAAAGGTTAGCAGCAGATCCGCACCCCACAGGCTATGATGACATCGAGACAAAAACTGCTTGCTGTAAGTCGCGGGAAGCAACGCCTGACGTATTAGGTACCTACCTACATCACCGCCGGTATACCTAGTAGGCAGTAGGGCCTTTCATTCTGGGAAATTGCATGATAATCGATCATTGCTACTAGATATTCTGTTGCAATTGGTGCATTGCAAAACAAGGGGTCGCTTTATCTTTCGCTTTTCTTTTTCATTCTCTTAATTTCTGTCTCATGGCGCTGTGCTCTTTTTCCCGTTATGACATAATTGATGAAATCCCGAACGCCTGACGAATCAACATCTATGTTCGATGCAGAATTTTTGATATTCGACTATTCGAGACCCCTGATTCCTCTTTGGTCTTTGTTGTTTGCCCTCTTGGACCGATTGCGACGTTCATGGAGGAGGGACGAACTCAACACCATGGACACGTGCTCTGGAAGGTGAACATGACGAGGGAAAAGACAATGCTCGTAAAGCCGTCACTCATTAATATGTAAATCTATGCCTTCGGAGCGACAGGACAAGCGATATACTCTGTAGCAAAGCAAATCCCATACGAAAAAGACACCCCACGAGGATCCAAATAAGAGAGACAAATGCCAATACCAGGTCCCAATGCCCCTCTTGTCCGTGCCTCATCCGGTTATGTAAGCGTGATGGGCGATATTCCCTGAATTTGGAACCATCTTCCGGCCAATGTTAGTTGGCATATGGTCTAGACAGGCCGCGTGGAGGGCCAAAGTCTTCGTGGTTGCTGTACACCTCCAGTGTTCCCACTTCCCACCCTTTTTTTTTTTGCAATACCCTACCTTCTTGTCGCAAACGTCATCGGTCTTGCTTGGTTCTTACCGGACTTTCGAAAAGTCAACGGGCTGAGAGAGACTTTCTTTTTTCCCCACATACTTCCTTTGGGCGCCACCTACGGTTTCTCTGCTTCCTTCCTCACCACCAAAAAAGTGTTATTATTCGCCTTGTTACTCCAAATCCATTTGCTATCTCCATTTTTTTTTGTTTCACTCTCGTTTCTTTTACACGCTCCTCCTGTCCCTTCTCTTTCTTTAATCATCTTGTCTCATATACTGAGCAAGTCTAGAGGATTTCGATTTCTGTCCCTTTCCCCCGAATCTTGGAGTTACATCCGTCTGTAATCCAAAATGGCGGAATTCGTGCGTGCCCAGATCTTCGGCACGACCTTTGAGATCACAAGCAGGTACTGGTGTCTCTTGAGATCATTGAATTCAAGCAATGGGGTCGGTTCCTTTTTAACAGTTTCGCAGGTACACAGAACTGCAGCCTGTGGGAATGGGTGCGTTCGGCCTCGTGTGGTATGTTCCCAGAGCCCCTCCTTTTAGATTCGCCGTTACCGCCAACCCCTCATACGGACCATGCGCTGACACGCTTCTCCCCGGGAAATTAGTTCGGCGAGGGACCAATTGACCGGACAGCCCGTCGCTGTTAAGAAGATTATGAAACCTTTCAGTACCCCAGTCTTGTCTAAGAGAACATACCGCGAACTGAAACTATTGAAGCACTTGCGCCACGAAAATGTCGGTCAATTTACCCGAATACGGCCGCATCGCTCCGTACGCTGACTGTGACTAGATCATCAGCCTAAGTGATATTTTTATTTCTCCCCTCGAAGACATGTATGCACGATTTCTACCAACTTTAAGAGGGACACCTATTGTCTAACCGATCGCCACAGCTATTTCGTAACCGAGCTCCTGGGTACCGACCTCCACAGACTTCTCACATCAAGGCCGTTGGAGAAGCAGTTTATCCAGTATTTCTTATACCAGATCTTGGTGCGTGACTGGGACAGGCTCCTCCAGGCGAGGTGGGCTCCATGCTAATTCTCTACAGCGAGGACTTAAATATGTGCACTCAGCAGGCGTTGTGCACCGTGATCTTAAGCCAAGTAATATCCTTATCAACGAGAACTGCGACCTGAAGATTTGCGATTTTGGTCTCGCCCGTATTCAAGACCCTCAGATGACAGGCTACGTGTCGACGAGATACTACCGTGCGCCCGAAATTATGCTCACATGGCAAAAGTATGATGTGGAGGTGGATATCTGGAGCGCCGCTTGCATTTTCGCCGAGATGCTGGAAGGAAAGCCTTTGTTCCCCGGAAAGGATCATGTGAACCAATTCTCCATTATCACAGAACTCCTTGGTACTCCACCGGACGATGTGATTGAGACAATCTGTAGTGAGAATGTGAGTAATCATGCGATTGGCCATGTGGAGTCACTGCTAACATTAGTCACAGACTTTGCGATTTGTCAAGTCTCTTCCCAAGCGCGAACGTCAACCTCTCGCCACCAAGTTCAAGAACGCTGACTCGGATGGTATGCCTTCCGTTCAATGGGGATTAAGCGCCATCAGATGCTAACAACGCACAGCGGTTGACCTTCTCGAGCGGATGCTGGTATTTGACCCGAAGAAGAGAATTCGCGCGGGCGAGGCGCTGGCGCACGAGTACCTTGCTCCGTACCACGACCCCACCGATGAGCCTGTGGCAGAAGAGAAGTTCGATTGGTCATTCAATGATGCTGACCTACCTGTAGACACCTGGAAGATCATGATGTAAGCACCTCTTGGATGCAATGACGTGGTTGCCAAACTAATCTAGAGACCCTAGGTACTCGGAAATTCTCGACTTCCATAATATCGATCAGGGTACCGAGGCGAGTCAAGTCCTCGTTGAGGGAGCTGGCGATGCCCAGCAAAATTTTGTATAATCGGGTTCCTTATTTTGCGGACGAGGCGCAGGCAATAGTGCAGCGTGTTTCTGAGGTTATTCTCTTCTTTTTCCTTTTGTTCTCCTTGTTTGGTATGTAGACTGGGCATGAAGGCTGTGATATCTTTACATCTACGGATACTTTCTCATTCACTGTCACGTGGCTGTTTTGCAAATTCCGAGGCGCTTATGCCTTCAGGAACTGTGGTTTTCTCACGACGTTGTTAGAATCGGGGGGGTTGAAAATCATTTATGACATTGATTTTCCCTTTCTCTTTTGGTTTCTTGTCCCTTATATATAAGTTACACGTGAACCATGAATGATGATGAACTAGTTGGTGCTTGAGGGATACTCGAATGCAAATCGAACTATTAGAACAATTTTGTTGATCGTTCGTCGCGCTAATTATTTGGTTGTTCATGGGTGTTGTAAGTGGTGCTCCGCTAGCAGAGATCCCAAACATCAGCCTTATGGCTTGATTATCTTTCCGAATTATGGGGTAGTCGTACTTAAAACAAGGGGTGGGGGAGATTAAATGTCCATTTACTGCTCCGTACTCCAGTTGGCAAATTTAATCAACCGCCGGCCTGTCACCGCCCACCGCGGGACCCAATGAACCAATTCATTAGCCCCCTGGTTCCAATTTCCATCAGTCTTCAGCTTGAGGTCCTCCTTTGATTCATTCTTAATTGTATCTCTCTTGAGGCTACCCTTGTCTCCCTAAAATTCTTTCCCGGGAGGGCAGCCCCTTCTCTCAGAGAGAAATTAGCTTCGAATCGTTCCTTGTTTTGGTCATTGTGTATGTGGCACCGCTGCAGTTCCACACCATGCTAGTGTTGCTCCAAGTCGCCAGGCACCTATTGTCATGGTCATAGACTTTCATCATGCAAGGTGAGTAACTGTATGAGAACAAGAAGGCAGCAGTACGAATACGGGAACAAGAAAGGGAACGAGATAGGCAGTACCAGAATCATATTCATATCATTCTTCTGTTGCGCTTGTATGAGTTGTGCTCGGGGCTTTCTGCATAGCACAGCCCGGGATTATCTTTTGTCCTTGCGCCACATTTTCTGGGCCTGCTGGCTAACATTTATCATTTTCTGTGTCCTGCAGGGGCCCCGAAATCGAACTGTGCTTTGGAGAAGATGGAACCGATCCTGCGGCAGAGAATGACTGGAGTTTGTTACCATTCATGGCGTTATCGGACGGGGCGCATATGTACGGCGATGTTTATTACCCCTAATACGCTCCATACAAGTTACAGCATCTGCTCAAGGGCGCATTCATTTATTGACGCAAATTCTGGCCCTCCAGGTCGACCGAGGAGTTTTCTTATTTTACACTCCGCCGAAAGGAGACCGCCACAGAGCCTGCAACATCCCTTTTCGGCATATCTTGTGCCAGACAAATCGATTCGAACTTGCTCCTATACCGACCATCCGATGTGACAAGATCCACAGTACAGAAGGCAGTTGTTGTCATCACAGATAGCCCCCAGAGCCTGGGACAGCTGAGAGAGAAATTGTCCATAGTAGCATCTGCTTGGTTTGCGCAGCGGTATGTTGGAACCACTATATACGCTAGCTGGTGGCTATTCGCTACTCTGGTGTGGGAGGTCTCTAACTAATGTGTATACGGAGGAGAACAGGGATTTCTCCGATATCGATATTTTGAAAGTGTGTTTTTGTTCCTTTCCAATTGCGGCTTGGCATTATCTATCAGTCCCTAGTAGTGCTGACATGTTTCAGAAATTTCGAGAAAGCCTAGTCATTAATCTGAACAAGGATGAAAGTTTCAAGGATCAAAATCTTGGTGAGTCCAGTTCCCCAGAGCAGTCGATTTTTGTTGCTGACCAGCCTACAGGACTGTCTTTGCGGGAAATGATTCATGAGTTTAAGTATCAAACTCTGGTCCTATTCAAAGCCATACTCTTGCAGCCCAAGGTTGGTAGTTCCTAGTAGGTCATCGTACAAGATACTGACTGAGCCCAGATGCTTTTCTTTGGTTCAAGATGTGAGCGGTTATGCATGATACAATTCTCCCTTGTTTCATTGATACCTGGCCTCATAAACTACCTTCAAGACTGTGCAGACCCATCATTCGAAAGCTATACGAAGACTGTTGAGAAGCCTACCACTCTGAAGACAAGTGATAGAAGTTCTCGTATGATTGTAACCGTCCTACCTTCGATTATATCTCATACTGACTCTCATAGTGCTGGCGTATATGGGACTGCCACTTCAAATTTTTGGCAAGGTTCGTACGTCATGAATCAAAGACCGAGTTACGTTCTAACATCTGTAGGGGAGCATGTTCGGACCTTACACGCCTCTACAGCAGCTGGATCTGCTGGCGGATCACGGAACGAAGTCATATGTAGTTGGCTCTACGAATTCGTTACTTTTACAACAGAAAGATCGCTATAGTGACATCTTAATCAACGTGAGGAAACAGTTGATCCAATTTGACAACTTGAATACTTACGCAATGAGATTTGCAGCTTGACGAGGACACTATTAATATCACGTCCCCCTCTCTACGAAATGCATTGGCACTATCTGCTGCAGACAGACGCTGGATCGACCTTCTTACCCAGATTATCAACGATACGTGGGACGAGGCGCACCCGGAACAACCCAAGACCCACGGGTATATGGGCTCCGAAGAATTCATCAGGTTACAATTCGAAGAATATCTGCTGGCATTGCTTTCATGTATGAAATATCATGAGGAGCTGGATTCATTCAATGCGGGTGACCCTGGCCGCAGGAGCAAAGAACAATTGGATGCGTTCAACATAGAAGGCGACCCTGCGCTCGAATTCAACGCTGAGTTTCTGGCACAGTGGCAAAACACTTCTAATTATGCGCTTTTCAAAAACCTGACCTCTGATGCACTGTTGTACTCCATTGTCGAGCCTCGTCATCCTTGTGCCGGAGGCCTCACCATGGACGATGTTCAACGTCGGTTATCACAACAAGTCGCGGATCTTCATCTGGATGAACGGGTACGGGAAAGCCGCGAGGCGCTCAATAGGCACATCAGTACTGGCCAAAGGAAAGTAACCGCCGCATTCAACAACTTCTGGAACGATATCGAAGCGATGCGGGAAGCACAGCGGAAAAAGAATGAAGAGAGAACTCCCCAGTCACAACGGTCCTCAATTGACAAGGGCCCTTCCCCCCCATTTTCACCGTCCGATACAGCATCAGTGCATTCCACTAGTGGTTCCTCTTGGTTCGGTGGTCGCAAGGCTCCTTCCGTGGACATCACTCAAGCACAGGCATCCGTGAGTGCCGCTGGTCAAAGGGCAGGGGCGTATTTGAATTCGTGGAGTACCTGGGCTAGCGAAAAGCGAAAGGAATGGCAGGACAAAAATAAAACCCCATCCTCTCCATCTTCAGTAACCTCACCGTCGACCCCGACATTGGCGGGTACCGCAGAGCAGAGCGACCCGCCGGAAAGAGGTAGACGATCAATGCAGGCAAGCCGCAGTGAAGACTCTATTACTTTGTCTCGCAGCGGAAGTAGAAGGAAGAGATGGAGCAACATTTTCCTGAGACGGGATAGCGGCGAGTATGGCTCACCCAACCGGAAGGATGATGGTGACGGTAGCGAATATGACACTGCCAATACACGCTCGCAGCTATCGAACGAGGTCCCTGCTAATGACGACCCGTCGCACCCAACCGAACAGCCATCTAAAGAGGCGAAGGCCTCCACACAAACTCAGGTCAGCAGTATAAGCGAAACCCACACACCCAGTGAGACAAAGAATACTGCCACCACTACCGACGCATCAACTGAGCAGCCCAAGCCTTCTGTCAAGCCCCAGACCATCATCGCTAAAAAGGATACCATAGCAGAAGAGCCAGCATCCACCGAGTGCAAGACTCAAAACGAAGCACCCACCACCGCAGAATAAGCTCCACAAAGCCAATAATCTATTAACAAACGACAGGAACACGATCGCATGAATATTTTTCCATTTTGACCCTTTATATAAACTCATCCTAATCAACCCCACCATGCATACATAACACATACAAAAACAAACTTCTTGCATATCATTTATTCACCATTATCATTTACGCTTCGAAGCTTTGATACCCGGGAAAGGACAGAGCTTGTATTATTGCTATTTTTTGTTACTTTTCAGCATATATCATATTCTCTTTTTAATATTCGAAAATGCATATACGATGTTCCTTGATAGAATTGCCTCACATGTCAACTAATATATCCTGCACTTTCTGAATGCATCAGCGGTTGGATATGAACATTGAAGGTATATTATGCATACCATTATAGAGCACGTGGCATGAACATTACTTGTTACTAATAGATATCTATTTAACTAATCACTTTTGAATTGCCGAACATAAGTGTTACAAGAAAAAAGAACCAAAAGGGGAAAATCCAATCATTGGTGATATAGTGGGTTATCATTCGTCATATCGGTGCTACGAAAGCAGAAGACTCCTATCCTTGACCTATGAATGAAAGCCGTATGCCGCAGTGAGAAAAAGACCATTAAACAAAGAAAGGAAATAGAAGGAAAACCAGCAAGAACCGGCGCTAACATAGAAATGATTGGGAAGGGGACAATGAAAGAAGAACTTTCTAAGAATTATGCAATATAAGCGATCTCATCACCATCCAAGCGCTCTATATAATCCTTCTCCATGAGGGCTTCGATATTCTTCTTGATATCGGGTACCTTAGGTGGGAAACGGGATTTGACTTGTTGGATCACTTCCTGGACTAGCTGGACGTGCTTCATCTTCTTGCGCGATTTCATGATTCGGACGATGGCAGACTGTATCCATGTTAGAAAATGACTCAGAATTGGGTAATTCTGCAACATACCTGAAGCAGCAGTTTACGATCCTCCTCTATAGTCTTGTGTGTATCGTCCGACTCAACCTTTTGTTCCGACTTGATCTGAATGTTGAGGTTGACCTTGACCTTTTTGTGTCTAAAGTTGTAGTTTAAAGTGAACGAGGTGCCAGGCTCCGGCTTGGACCCCTCGGGGCTGATGAGAAGTACCTTCGCCTTGAGGAAGATACCCAAGTTTGGCTCAAGAATTTCAGGAGCAAGAGTGGTAGCTTTTTGGATGTCCTCGTACGTTAAGGTATCGGTCTCATTGAAAAGGAGAAGAATGCCCATCTGGAAGGTTGATACTTGAAAAGTATAAGGCACCTTTGTGTTTTTGATGTAGTTAGTTTTGATTTCACCTTTGCACAGCTGCCAAAGCCATGTCAGCTTCCGACCATTATGCTTGTCAAAGTAGAAGTTTTGGAACCGCTCAGCCGTCTTGACGATTTCTGGCGGCGCAAGGAAGTCTGTCGAGGGAGCTTGAAGAGGCCAGAATCCCGTTCCCAGAATTTGGAAGTGTGCATCCACCAGCTTCTTCCGATCGTCGTCATCAAGAACCTTGTCTTGCCAGTCTTTGTAGCTGGCGTTGAGATCCTTCGAGATCTGAATATCTTGGAACATACGCTGCAATTTGTTGGTGTACTCGAAACCACAGGCCTCCTTGAGCTTGCTAATCATACTAGTCTCCGCATCATCGGACACCGAACTGACATGCACCAGTCGCTTAGCAAGCATCTTCGAGTAAAATTTCTGGAAGACATCCTTATCTTCAATGTATTTGAAGACCGTCATGATCTGGACTAGCATCTCCTCTAACTCGGACTCCTCAGCAGCTTTAGATCCCTTCTTCAGCAGAGAGTCAGTATACTTAGCCAGCAGCTCCGGCGATTTCGTCGAACTAGATGCGCAGATCTTATTGCGGTTGACAAATTCGCGGCAAGCATTGTCCAACGAGCGTACAAACTCCGATTCGCCATTGAAGGCCTCGTTAACCAGACTCTGATATCTTGTATGCACCTGCAACAAAGCATCCACATACATCTTGGGTTCGAACGCCTCGCCTTCCGCTGCAACCTTCTCAACCGCCGCCAAACCTGCTTTCCTGACATGGGTCTCGAACTTCGTCCGCAGAGGATCCAGGCCCTCTTTGATGCGAGACAAAAGCCGGTACATCCGAGCTAGGTCCTCTTGACGTTCGTTGTCCAGCAGAACCTGGAATTCATCACGTAGTAGTTCAGAGTGGGCAGTAACAAGGACATCCAAACACGTGTCGGTAAGATGTTTCGAGATATCCGGGTGCAAATACAAGCCGACACGAGCCTTTTCTTCTTCTAAACGAGCCTCCGCCTTCTTCATGTATTCCACCACGCTGTTTTCTGCCACGAATTGGCGCGACTCGTTTTCGTAATAGACCTTGGTAGCCGCAATAAAGGGCTTCTCAAAGAACATCCGATATACTTCAAGCGTCGACTTGGAGCTGTCGCTTTCATCCAGTCCGAGAGAAACGAAAGAATCGACGATACTCTTGATTTGCGACTGCTCGATCGTTTCACCATTGCGCTGCTTCTCGACAAGGTTCAAAACTGCGTCCATAACCTTCTCGTGAACCTTCATGAAGAAGTCATCTTTCCACTTGACGAGGTGCAGGGTATACACGTCGTAAACATTCTTTTTACCCTCGTCGATCTCCCGCTTGACCCAATGTCGGTTGAGATAGCCGAAAAGATGGTTGATATACTTGGCGGCTGTCGTGTAACGGGTCCATTCGCGGATGTAGAACCCTAGCAGGGCCTCCTCGGCGTGTCCCTTAGACTCGTGATGCACAGCATCGAGGTGACGTGACAGGTACTCTCCAAGTAGCTTATATAGCTCCTCTCCTAGCAGATGTGCTGAAGCATTGTTAGATCCAGGGGCCCGATATATCCTTGAGGGGTTGTGCGTTGATGAAGACGAACCACCGCGATGTGCTTGTAATCCATGGCCATTGCCGACAGCCTTTTGTGATGTGCAAAAATTGTGAACCGCGCTTCGCTCAGAATGTCAGTCGAGTCCAAGATGATTAAAACAACATGTGGCATACGTGTACAAAGCCATGTACTAAAAATCCAAGTGAATTGTCAGTATGCAGCTGGAGGCCTTTCCCATTCACCAGGAGCGACCAAGTTAAGCGATTTGAAATGGACTTACAGTCTTCATATCCACCCCCTCCTCCAGCTTCAACATCACACTGTCGACGCCCTTCTCCAGGAACGACCATCTGCTTGAGTCAGCCTACCATCCGTTACATGGCGCCCCCGAAGTTATCCGATGGCTCCTTCGAGTATGAGCGACTCACGTTTCATCCAAGTCATCCTTGTGAGGTGTCTGGGGAATAAGGGAGGGCGGCATGGTGCTATTCGGCGATAACTTCGGCGAGCAGGGAGTACAGCTGCGAAACAAGGGCGTCAGTTCTCGCAGAAGCTAGGGCGAACACTCAAGACAGATGACACACGCGTGACGACCTGAGGATGGAGAGACGAAATGGGGGTTCGAAGGTGTTGAGGACTTGTCGTAACACCGCAAGGGTTCGGGACCTTCCTACTTGTTGATTTCGGCAATGAGCTCGCTCCAGAAGCGGGCGATTACAGCACTGGCGACGTTCAGTCCAAACACTACCGTCAAGGCAGGAGGATAGCCGCACGCTATGAGATAGCAAAGAAGAACGGAAGGGACCAACTGAGTCACAAAAACAGGACCTCAGTACAGAAGTCCGGGCTAGAGCGAAGTAAGAGCAAACCACAAACACGCCTCAAAGTACCAAAAATACCGAGAGACACAAGAGTAGGCGTGGCGTTGGGCGGTAGTGAGAGTCGAGATCAGACATCCCGTGGGGGGGGGGGAGGAAACGCTTTATGGACCTTTGCGGTAGGCGGTCAACGCAGCTGGTCTACACAGGATCTTTAAATCTAGATTTCCTGGGGTTTAAGACGAATAGTTAGGCAACCAACACCTTCAATTCTTTCGGTACTGCTACCTAATGGAGCTGGGAATGTTCCCAAGCTCATCCGGAGTCGATCCTATTTTGTTTCGCATTTGCTTCGTTCCCTTTGGAGCTCTTCTTTATTACGCGAACAATCCAGTATCAAGACGATTGTGTTTTCCCTTTTTTTTTTTTTTTCTTTTTTTTTTTTGTTAAATACGCATGACGCAGTCAACTACCGTGCTTATGAATGCCTCTTTCCCTTGGTTTTTTCTTTCTCTTCCCCTTAGTACACAGCAATAACTCCCCCTTTGGATGTCTGGCTGCGACAAGCACATATTGATATATCGTAGCAACGCCCTGGTTAGGGTTGAAGAAGACGAGAAGGGGAATTCCAGGAGGATGGACTATAAACACATTCGGTCCTCTTGAAACTTGGGAACAAAACCGCAAGCATGACCGCGGATGACGTCATGGTGGCATTCCACTTTCGGAAACCCTTAAACCCTTACTTCTTGACCGAATCAAAGAGCTTGAACCTCAACCCACTTGCATGTAGCAAAAGAAAAAGAAAAAAAACCTCCCTAGCCCAGCAAGGTAAACTGCCTACTTCTGAGCCCCGTATATCCTAAGGCGGAACCGATTCATTTCATTGGAAAGGAAACCATGTCGTTCAGATCCCCATCCGATATCAAGGTTACCACTCGTCAAATCCCGGAATGGGAAGATATCCCCAACACATCCATACAGTCTAAGCCGCTTATGATATATCATCACGCTTTTGATGCGTCCCCAAGGCAGCTTCAGGCGCGTTTGGAAGAAATCGGCGAGGTCGAACCACAGTGGGTTTATACTATGTATCAGCAGACGCACTTCCACAGCACAACGCATGAAGTTTTGGGCGTGGTCTCCGGACGCGCTCGTCTCTGCTTTGGCGGTGAAGCAAACCCCAGTCGTTTTGAGCCGACGGTTGAGAAAGGCGATCTCATCATCGTTCCCGCTGGGGTAGGCCACCGCCTCTTGGATGATCTCGGTGCGGAGAGTTTCAGCATGGTGGGTGCCTATCCTCGAAATAAACACTGGGATAT